TCTCTGCTGTCCACGCGTCTCTAGCTAATACATGATTGGTTAATCCTAGCTGTTCATGCGTCTAAATTAGAATGCTGATTGGATCATCTAATTTTTCACACGTCTTGCTGTGGTCTTCTGGCTCACCCATGGCTCACATTTTCCTACTTTCCCAAGCTCACTGACAAACTTGCTGAGTCTAATGATTCTTCTTCTTGTATCTTTTTCAAGGATATACCGACCCCATTTCTGAATATGTCCATTATTCATTGTTTGTGAACGTGTCCCTTGTTCATTATTACAAGCAGGCTGGATTGTGCATCGGCTGAATATGGCCCTTGTCTTGCAAAAACTCCTCAACCTGCAAAATATTCTTGACAGGTGTTTCTTATTTGCAGGGACAGAGCATGGCCCAGTATGGCTTCACACATCAAAGGCGGACTTTGTAGCTTGGAGAGGCTTACCTTGCTGGCACCCAACATGAAAATGATTCATAGCCAAAGAGATAGAATGAAAAGATCTATGCACTACTTTGAATCTGATTGCAAAGACAATGTTATGTATTGGAGTAAAAACAAGACAAAATCAGCCTCCATCTTGTTCCCTTCGGTGGCTGCATCCAAAGCCTTAGTGATAGTACAGGGATAAAATGTTTCTAAAATAATAGAATATTCAGGAGAGTTAGAAAGGAAGGATAAAGGACCTGGTAGGTCCTGGGGAAATGTTGAGGGAGACCCAGGGAAAATATTAGGCTGCACCTGTACAATAATTTAATGATTATCATAAATGATATGATTGTTAGATGCGATGATTGTTTGGTAATTGGATATAATTACTGTTTAATCATAAAAAGAATCATGAGAAACTATGTTGGGGGGGTTTGATGGAAATTACAAAAATCCATGCTTGGATGAAATCAATGTATACAATAGAACAATGTAAGTTTAATAATTAATATGTAGTTATATAACAATAAGGGTATAAAAACATGTTCATCCTGAACCCATGTTGGAGTCAGATTTGGGTCTGTACCCCTGACACCCGGAGCTCTTCAATAAAAGCACCTGCATATAATCATTCTGTGATTATGTGTTCCTGATGGCTAACATTAGGACAATTAGACCATCTTGGGTGCCTAAGTGAGCAAACCAATGCTACCTCCCTTGCACTGAGTGGCCTGCTGTCAGACGTAGATACCATCAGACACACCACCGTGCAGAACAGGGCAGCAATAGACTTTCTACTCTTGGCACACAAGCACAGCTGTGAGGACTTTGAGGGAATGCGTTTCATGAACCTCTCCAGCCAGCAAGTCAATTCACAACAGCATTCTAGTGCTGAGGGGAGGGTTCAAGAAGCTTCAAGTGGAAAACAAAGACTGGTTGAATAAACACTTCTAATCCTGGGGACTGAAGGGTTGGATGATGTCTTTAGTCAAGACAGGACTGTTAGTTTTCTTGGTTGTTGTTGTTGTGGTGTTGGTTGTTCCATGCTTGTTTGGATGTTTTTATAGTTTTGCAAAGCTTTTTCAGCTCCATTTTTGTTAGAAAACAGAAAGGGGGAGATGTGGAAATGGGCCCAGCTGTGACTCAAAGTCAGCCAGATTTTACCCCAAAAGAACTGGGCATTAGTTTCAAGCCCTGGGAATCATTTGTTTGACTTAGGTGAGCCTGAGAGCTCCCCCATAAGCCCTTGGTGTTATTATGTTAAGTTGTCCAAGTTCTGCTCCCCTATTGATTACTTGTTTCCCCTATATGGTTATAGTTCCAGAATGTTCCACCCCCAAGTGTATATGTTGCTGCTTCCCCTTTGTTTTGGGTCTCTGGATGCTGCCCCTCACACTGTGCTCAGCTACTCCACGTTTGCTGTTTTTCACCCTTTATTAAAGTTCTTTCCAGCAACTCCATCGAACCCACTCCTTTTCATTTTCGTCACCCTTGCCCTGAAATTAGGGAACCAAAGAGGTTTGCTGCAGCCATCCTCACCACAACAGTGATGGATCTTAATCACTGCAGGTAATCTTTGGTAGTGATGATTGGGTGCATTGCTGAGCTTCTCCTTCTGTGATTCTTTGCTGCTTTGAACTACAGTAAATTACACTGATTCCTTCAGTTCATGTTTGTTTCTTTGGTGCTGACCCTGCCCACTTGTGAAACAAAACTGGCATAGTCTGGCCAGATCACAACAAAATGTCACTTCTTAAATGTAAATTTAAGGAATCAGTCCCATTTGAAATTCACAGATGGGAAGCCCTTCCCTAGAGTTTGCTGACTCTGGAGTAGACTGAGGTCAGAACACCGTGTGAGCAATGGGGCAGTCAGTTTAAAGAAGCTGAACCACTGGATGTATTAAAATGCATCCAAAAATTGCATATGGAGAAAGGAAAACAACTTGTGAGTGGGTAAAGATGAAGATGAATTTTGTTAACAGCACCAACAGAAGGACCAGTTGTTGTCGCTCTCACATGGAGCAACAGCAGAAGATTTTAACCTTGAGCTTATATTAATTTGTTCAAGTGAAAGAATATTAATATAATAAATAACTATACACATATATGTAATAAAATATAACATTTTAATATATATTTTTAAACATATATTTTTATTTATCTATGTTTCTATCTATATCTTTATCTATATAGAAAATAATAATAATGTGAAATAATGCTGACAATTCTGATTTACCACCTGTGACTGCTCAAGGATCTAGCACTAAATATCCTACAGAAAAGCATTGGCCAGGACCTGAATGTCAGTGGTAAACTTTGTGAGATTGTATACAACAAATAAAGGAGAAACAGATGAAATTGGCTATTTTTATGGGGTTTGCTGATACTGTGACGTGGAATGCTTTGTCTGTTACTGTGAAAAATACAGTGATTAAGACTGCTGGGTTTTTCATACACCAGACTATCCACAATCTGCTGGATTGATTGAATGGGTAAAAGGGTTATTCAAAGAGCAGTTGAAAATAGGGGGAGATGGGAACCTGCCCCCATGGAGAACCCATCTCACAAATGTGCTTTATAGCTTTAACAAGGGTAACAAGGGGCCCCCTGGGAAACGGAAACCCCCTGGATGTGCATGGCTGCACTTAAATTGCAAATACAACCATGAACAGTGACACTTTAACTTCCTGAGAAATTATTCTGGTCTGATGGCCCCTGACAGGGCCCTCCTAGAGGCTGCAGGGCTGGACCTTCATGCATTATAATTAATTAGGATAAATCAAAAGCAAATGAGAATTATCAATATTGACACAGGAATTCCAATTCCTCCAGGACACTTTGGTTTGATAACTGCTCGCTGGAGCTTGGCTTTGAAAAGCATTCATGTCATGGGAGGAGTTGATGCAGATTATCAAGGAGGAATTAAAGTAATTAATGTAATTAAAGTCACTAAACAATAATGAATAAGGTGTGATTATTCAACCCCATGACAGGGTAGCACAGTTATTGATATTGCAGTTTTAAAAACAATTGTGAAAAAAGGAGATGCACCTCCAAATACCACTGTTGTTGGAGATTAAGGATTTAGATCCATCAGTCCTAATAATGGAGCTGAAGTGTGCGTCCAGAGGCCAAAAGGCCCTCCCAATCCAGCTGAAGGAACAGCTGTGGGGAAAGACAACACTGTTTGAATCCTGAAACCAAAATCACCAAGAAAAGGGGGCTAAAATCACCCACACAGGCTTAAGATCCACCCATATGGGTTTAAAACCATCCAAAGGGACCTAAAATCCCCACTAAAATGCTTGAAATCACTCTGAGAGATCTAAAACCCACCCTAAACCTGCCCAGCTTGGCCTAAAATCACCTAAATGGGCCTAAAATCTCAGGGACTGGGACTGAGACTGGGACCAGAACTGATACCGGAACCAAGACCAGCACCGCTCTGGGACAGGCACCATTACTGGGACCGAAACTGAAACCAGCACCAGAACTGGCACTGGGACAAAGACTGAGACCAAGACTGACACTGGGACTTGCTACCGGGAGTGCTTCAGAACCAGGACTGGCACCGGGAGTGCTCCGGGACCAGGACTGGAACTGAGACCAGCACTGGCACCAGGACTTCTCTGGGACTGGGAGCAGGATGGAGACTGGCTGGAGCACTGCGGGACTGAGACCAAGACTGGCACTGGAATCAGCACCGAGACTGGCAGCGCTCTGGGACTGGGACTGAGGCTGGCACAGGGAGCACTCCAGGACCAAGACTGGCACAGATACCAGCACTAGAACCAGAACAATTCAGAGACCGAGACTGAGATGGGGACTGAAACCAGAAGTGGCACCAGCACCGAGACTGGCACCACTCTGGGACTCAAACTGAGACCAGGACCAGCACAGCTGGTTGAGATCGAGATCAACACCAGGACGGGAATCAGCACTGGGAGTGCTCCAGGAGCATTCCGAGACTGAGACCGAGACTGGGACTGGGACTGACACTGGGAGTGCTCCTGGACAGAGACTGAGACCAAAACTGGGAATGGGATTGGCACCGGGATCAATTAAGGACCTCCGTGTTCACTCTGGAGAGTTTTGGCTATGCCCCCGTGCAGGACTGGGAGGGATCCCTGGGCAGGGTGGGACTGCCTCAGTTCACATTGTTCTGGTGCAGCCATCCCAGTCCAGATGATCCCAGTCCGCATGATCCCAGTCTGTATGGTCCTGCATGGCACACACTCCAAGAGTCTGGAATTCCAGTTCCCCCTGAGGAAAAGGTGTCCTGCCCTCGAAGGCAGAGCTCTTAAGAAGGGGCCAAAAGCCAAGCAGAGCAAGATCTTACAGTGACATTTCACTGCCAGCCTTCACCGATCGTTGCTGTAGCTCCTGCATTGAGAATTAAATCAAAGTAGGGTCTTTGGTGGCAGCTGTCCTAGCTCAAGGGAGGCACTGAGAGAGAAAGAGAGCAGGCAAAGAGAGGCAGGAGAGAAAGGAGGACACAAACCAAATCAGCTGTCAAGGTGGCACTCTGGAAACAGAACTGTAACTGACTGAAAATGAATGGGACAGAAATCACTAACTCTAAAAGTTTTATTTACTATCAAATACATCCCACCCAGCCCCACACAATCTCAATCCACCGTTCCAAATTTGGATCCTACTTCTCCCAGTCTCCTTCCAACCCCTTCTCACCATGGCGGCTTTGAAATCAAGTGAGTTTGGCACACAATTGAGATTTTTGAGGAGGGAACAAGCAATTTTGAGTTGGGATTGAGCCCTTCTGGTGTACAACTGTATGGTTTTCAGTGGGACTGAGTTGCTATGAGGAGGCAGATCGATCCCTCTTGGTTTCTGCAGTGCAAAGAGATGGAGAACACTGCCCAAAATCCTCCCAGAACCCATAAATCCTCAAGATCATGTCTCCAAATCCTAAATTCCCTCTAAAACAACTGTGAAATGCTGGGACTTTAGATATCTTTGATCAGTTTCTTTCTTTTCAAGCCTGTTTTGCCTGTTTTTAAGGGATGAAGATGAATCAGAAGAAAATGAAGGCCAAAACAAAAGGATAACCAGCTAGGTGCCTTCCAACATAGATCACAGGGAATGTGGGTCACCAGAGCTCTTCTCAACAAGGGTCCTCCAGTGGGGGATGGAGTTGGAGCAGCACACGAAGCTCTTCCTGAAATCGGGGCACTCACAGGGCTTCCCTTACTGGTGGTTCTGTTGGTGCTTGGTCAAGGCTGAGTTCTGTGAGAAGCTCTTCCCACACTGTGGACACTCGTAGGGCCTCTCCCCAGTGTGGATGCACCGATGGGTGATCAGGGTAGAATTGTGCTTGTAGCCCTTCCCACAGTCGGGGCAGCGGAAGGGCCTCTCCTTTGTGTGAATCCGTTGGTGGTTGATGAGGGTGGAGTTGTACATGAATCCCTTCCCACAGTCGGGACAGTGGAAGGGCCTCTCCTCTGTGTGAGTTCGACGGTGCACGAGGAGATGTGAGCTGATCCGAAACCCCTTCCCACATTCTGAACACTTGTAGGGTCTCTCCCCAGTGTGGATCACCCGGTGCTGGACCAGGTTGGCACGCTGGCTGAAGCCCTTCCCACATTCCCCACATTTGTAGGGCCTCTTCCCAGTGTGAATGTTCTGGTGCTGGATCAGGTTGGTGCTCTGTCTGAAGCTCTTCCCACATTCCCCACACTGATAGGGCCGCTCTCCAGTGTGGGTCCTCTGGTGGCAGATCAGGTGGGAGCTCCGGCTGAAGCTCATCCCACATTCCTCACACTCATGGGGCCTCTCCCCAGTGTGGATGCGCCGGTGCCTGACAAGATGGGTGTTTTGCCTGAAGCCCTTCCCGCAGTCAGGGCAGCGGAAGGGCCTCTCGTCTGTGTGCGTACGCTGGTGCACAAGGAGACTGGAGCTGAGCTGAAACCTCTTCCTGCACTGATCACACTCATAGGGCCTCTCCCCAGTGTGGATCACCTGGTGACGGATGAGGGTGCAGCTCCGGCTGAAGCTCTTCCCACATTCCCCACACTCGTAGGGTTGTTCTCCAGTGTGGATAATCTGGTGGCGGATCAGGCTGGAGCTGACTCTGAAGCTCTTCCCACATATCCCACACTCATACGGCCGTTCCCCTGTGTGGGTCCTCTGGTGCTGAATCAGGCCGGAGCTCCGGCTGAAGCTCTTCCCACACTCCAAGCACTTGTGGGGCTTCTCCCCATCATGATGTTGCTCATGGACCACCAAGTCCGAGCTCTGGCTCAATCCCTGGCTGCCTTCCCGGCCCAGGTTGGATCTTTCCTCCTCAGATCCCCGTGATCTGCGTTTGCAGCCCCTCCTTGCGCGCGATCTCCGGGGCTTTTCTTTGCCCTTCGATTCCTGTGCTGTGGAGCTGCTCAAAATGGCCTCTTCCATGAGGTTCTGCCATGGGGATTTGTCCTCCCTGGCCTCCATCCTCAGCTCCTGGTCTGGGATAGGAAGGACAAGGAAAGGATGGGATTTGCCTCCGTGCCACAGGGAAGGGCAAGGAGATGCCCCCAGTGCGTCCCCAGCAGGACAGCTTTGGCAGCAGGGTTGTCCTGCAGCCGGGGACCGTGCTGGGCTGGGAGATGGAGCAGGAGAGAGGGGGAAAGGGGCGCTGACTTCCTCCTTACCTGCCTGGGTGTTCCGTGGCATCTTCCTTGTCCTTGCACCCTCCTTCTCCATCCAGCCAAGGGTTGGGAATGGGAAATCCTGGTTTGAGGGAAAACAAGGGATAAGCATGTCGAGTTTGAAGGTCCCTCTGCTCAAGTCCATCTCTGGAAGTCACCGCACATCTGGGGTCCATAGACTCCTCCAGAACACCAAGATTCAGCCCTGAAAAAGCCTCACAGAAGTTCCCCATCTCTGGTCTCTCCCCTTTGGTCTTTGGGGATTCCTCCCTGTCCCAGATGCTTGGGGTCATGCTCATATTGTGGGTCTCCCTTCTCCTCGGTCACTGTCCTCCTCAGGCTGCTGTGAATCCCAAGAATCCAAAAGGTTCTCCCCTCCTTGGTCTCCCCATTTAGGGATGCTGGGGTTTTTCGGGGTCACAGGGTGCCTTCTCCCCTTATTCTCTGTTTTGGGGTGGGGGAGCTCCTTGTTGAAGGTCCTGTGAATCACGGCACTCCCCCTTCTCTGGGCTCCCCACTTTGGGCTCCTGGGGAACACAGGGCTCTGCTCCTCCAGGCTGTCACCAGAACCCCTCAATGTCCCCAAAAGGGGCCTTTTCCACTCAGCTGTACAGTTCTACATTCTCCAAACACTGCCCCCAAAAAAACCCAACCCACAGAGCCCCCAGAATATCTGGGCCAAGGTCCCCCTTCCCTGTCACCTGCAGGATGGTGGGGTGATGATCCCACAGGTGCAGGACTGCGAATTCAGGGAGCGCTCAACCTCATGGTTCCTTCTCCTTTCCTTGATCCTCCTCTTCCTCCCACTCCTCCTCCCCCTCCCTAAGCCCACCTCCTTCTCCTACTTCAATCCCTCCTCCTCCTCCCCCAGCAGCAGCCACACCCTCGGTGCCCCGGTCCCGCAGCCCTCGCAGCCCGCGGCAGGAGCGGGGATGGAGCTGGGAGAGGTCGGGATGGGCAGCGCAGGGCTCTCGGCTGCTCCCAGCCGCTGGGGGCTGGGGGAACCTGGCCCGGGGAGAAGGAGAAGCAAACTGGGAAAACTGGGGGCTGCAGATCCACACTGGGGCTTGCTGGGGACTGACAGCCCTTGGGGCTCCTCTTGGGAGATCCAGGAGGGGGGAATGCAGAGAGGGCTGGGGGATACCAGGAGTGGCATCACTGGGAGGAACTATGCTATACTGGGGTAACTGGAAACTTAATGGGGCAACTGGGAATGACTGGGAATTACTACAAGCATGCTGAGAGCAACTGGGGTATACTGGGAGTGTCTGTAACCAAACTGAGGTGACTGGAACTACACTGGGAACAACGGGGACCATGCTGGGGAGAACTGGCATGACAATGTGGGCAACTGGGAAGGAATGGGGGTGACTGGGTCTGCACTGGTGGCAACTGGGCATGACTGGAGCCATGTTGGGAGGGATTGGGATCATCCACAGCATGACTAGGACTATACTAGGGACAACTGGGTGCAACTGGCTTCACACTGGGAGGAACAGGGAGAAACTGGAACCATGCTGGGGGCAACTGGGATCCTACAGGCATCACAGTGGAAGCAGCTGGGCCCATGCTGGGGCAGACTGGGATCATACTGAATCATACTTGCAGCAACTGGGACTGCACTAATGGTGACTGGGAGTAGCTGTGGTCAAATGGGATCAGGCTGGAAGCAACTCTGGGTATCTGGGAGTGACTGGGAACATGCTGGGACCAACTGGGTTATACTGGGAGAGACTGAAACGATAGTGGGGGTAAATGGGAGCCACTGGAATCATGCTGAGTGATAATGGCAGGAGGTGTGCCTATGTCAGGGTCATACTGGGATAATACAGGGAGTAAGCAGAATAGTACTGAGAGTATGTAAGAGTGACTGGGATCCTACTGGAATCAGACTGGGGGTGACTGAAAAGGTGCTTGTCATGATTGGAACCATACTGGAGGTGACTGGGAGCAACTGGGACCACACTAGGAGTTACAGGGAGTCACTCTGGGCATGACTGGAATAATACTGGGAGGATCTAGGAGTCACTGGATGCAACTGGGATCATACTAGGAGTGACTGGGACCATACTGGCAGTGACTATGGGCACTACTGGGACCACCCTGGGAGCTACTGGGATTACAATGGGTGTGAATGGAACCTGACTGGGGGTTACTGGGAGCTACTGGGCCCATGTTGGGAGGAAATTGTGGACACATTGGGAGCAAATGGGATCAACTGGACTGTACTGGAACCATGCTGAGCGGACTGAGCTCACAACTGGGATCATACTGGAAGCAACTGGGAATAACTGGAAAAGACTGGGATAATTCTCAGGTAACTAGAGCCTCACTGGGGCAACTTGGAGTGTCTGTAACCATACTAGGGATAACTGGAACAACACTGGGAACAGCAGGGACCATGCTGGGGATGACTGGGACTACCCTACAGAAACTGGAAGTGATTGAATCTACACTGGGGGACACTGGATGTGACAGGGACCATGCTGAGAGGGACTAGGACTATTCTAGGGGCAACTGGGATCATACTTGTAGGAACTGGGAACAACTGGAACTATGCTGGGGGCAACTGGGATCATACTGAGGGTGACTGGAATCATACTGGGATTGACTAGGAGTGGCTGTGGACAACTGGAATTGTGCTGAAAGCAACTGAGAGCATGCAGGGGGTGACTGGGATACACTGGGAGAGACAGGGATTCACTGGGATCATACTGGAGGCTACTGGGGTCACTCTGGCATTGACAGGGAACAACTGGGATCACACTGGGGGCAACTGACATCAGACTGGGAGTGACTGGAATTATACTGGGATTAGAGTGCGTGTCATAGGACCCTCATTGGGGGTTATTGGCAGCTACCAGGCCCGTGCTGGGAGCCAACTGGGGATATAATTAGAAGAACTGGGAGCAAGTGGGATAAAAACAGGGGCAAGTAAACCATGAGGTTCACTGAGGTAACTAGAAGTGCCTGGCAATAACTATGAGAAAGTTCAGGGTACCTGGGATATACTGGAAGTGTTTGACACCATAGAAGTAGTCCCTGGGGTGGCTGAGAATGCTCTAGAGGACCTGGGATCATGCTGGGGGCAAGTGTGAGTGAGTGGGGCCATGCTGGGAGAGACGGGGACCATATTGGAATGACTGGGACTAAGCTAGGGGCAACTGGGAGAACTAGGAACACACTAGATGAAAGTGGGAGCAAGTGAGATCTTGCTAGGACCAAATTGCATCATCATAGGGAATGACTGGGAGTGACTGGGCTCATAGTGGGAGTGTTGAGGAAACTGGAAATGGGGGGGAGCAACTGCGCTTATAGTGGGAGCAGCCACTTCCAGCACCAGGAACCCCAAACCCCACTCCCAGCTATCCCACTTGCTGGGGTCCTGGCAATCCCAGGGGTTCCCCCCTCTCGGGGTCCCCGCTTTGCCCTTCTGGGGCTCTCCTCTCTCTGGGCTCCCGCTCGGGGAAGCCGCGGCTCTCCCGGGGCTCCCCAGAACCGGTGCCCCCCGCCGGTGCCGCCGCTCCCGCGCGGTCCCCACGCAGCCCCGGCAGAGCTCGGAGGGCCCGGCTGGGAAGCCCAGCCCCCACCGCGGGGGGACCCACATCCCCCCGCCCCTCGCTGGGGCCCTGTCACCACCCACACCGGGACCCCCAAAAACACCTCCCGGGGACCCCCCAGTGTCCCCCCGAGGGCCATCTGCGGCTCGGCTTTGGAGCCCTGCCAGCTCCAGACATCCCCCCCAAACCCAGGGAGCCCCCGGCAGATTTGGGGCCGAGCTCCCCCTGCCCGGGCACTTGCAGGATGGGGCGCGATGGTCCCGGGGCTGCAGTGAGTTCAGGAACCGCCAGGGCCATGTGATTCCCCCCTTGTCTCTTCCTCTGCTGCTTCCTGCTGCCACTCCACCTCTTCCTCTCTCCATCCTCTTCCTCCTCCCTCTCCCCCATTCCCAAACTGCGAGGCAAAAGGGGCAGGGTCAAGGGAACACGCGGTCCTAAAAGGGCCCAGTTTGGCCTAAAATCACCCTAAAGGGCCTCAAGTGCAGCAGAAATCCACCAGGTTTGGCCTCAAATCAGCCAAATGGGATTCAAGTTATCCAATGGGGTCTAAAATCCAACCAAATGGGCCTAAAATTGCCCAAAGTGGTTTGCAGCCCACACAAAACAGCCTAAAATCACCCTGAATTTCTGAAATGGGCTTAAAATCAGCCCTGAAAGTATCTGGTTTTGCCTGAAATGACCCAAATGTGCATAAATCCACCATAAAAAATCCACCTGTTTTTTACTAAAATCACCCACAGGGACCTAAAATCACCCAAACAGGCCTGAAACCAACACAAGAGGACCTAAAATCACCCTACTAAGACTTGGTTCAACCTAAAATTAACCAAAGAAGCAAAAAAATCTAACCAAATGGGCCCAAAATCACCAAAACAAGGGACCTAAAATCACCCACACAGGATTAAAATTCTCCCAATATGGGCATAAAATCAGCCAAAGGGTCCCAAAATCCACACTAAAACTGCCCAGTTTATCCTAAAATCATCCAAACAGGCCTAAACTCTATACAAATGGGCCTAAAATCATCCCAAGGGATCTAAAATCCACCCTAAAACCCACAAGATTTAGCCTAAAATCATTCAAAGAGGCCTAAAATCCACACTGAAAGGCTTTAAATCACTCCAAAGGACCTGCAACCCAACCTAAACCTGCCCAGTTTGGCCTAAAATCACCCAAATGGGCTGAGGTTGAGGCCGAGACTGGGATTGGCACCAGGATCGGCGCTGGGGTCGCTCAGGGACCTCTGGGTTTGGCTGCAGCCCAGGACGGGACTGAGCTGAGACTGGCAGGGACCAGGGCCTTCGGGAGGGTTTTTGGGAACACTGGGCTTCTCTGAGCTTTGGGGAATTTTGTTGGGAGTTTAGGGGAAATTACTGGGTTTTTTGAAGGTAATTACAGGGTTTTCGGGGAGTTGAGGAATTTTGAGGGGCTTGGATTTTGGGGGATTTTATTGGCACTGTGGGGGGTTGTTTTCTAGGGGTGTTTGGGGGCTTATTGAAATTTTTTGGTTTTTTTTTAATTTTAGCAGGTTTTACTGTAATTTTCTGGGGATTTTGTTGGAGTCTGGAGTTTTTCATGGTTTTATTGAGTTTTTAGGGGTTTTGAGAGCATTTTATTGGAATTTGGGGGGCATTTAGTGGGATTCTTTGAGGGTTTGGGTTCTTTTGGGATTTTTTTGGGGAGATTTTGGTGGGGTTTTGTTGGGCTGTTTGGGTGTTGCCAGGATTTCTTTGGATCTTAGGGGGATTTTGTGGGACTTTTTGTGGTTTTGGAGATATTCTTGGGGGGGTTTGTAGGGTCTAATTGGAATTTTGACGGGTTTGTTGGGATTTCAAGAGATTGTGTGAGCTTTTACTGAAATTCTAGGGTGTTCTGACGGGATTTTATGAGATTTAATTGGGATTTTGTGGGTTTTATTGGGAGTTTTGGGGGTTTTAAGGAGATTTTGGTGCCTCTCAGCCCTTCCCCGCACCCAGGGACAACCATAAAGCCCCTCAACCGTGAAGCCCCCTCAAACTTTCACTAAAAACAAAATCCTCTAAAAATCCCAATAAATTCCTCAAAAAAACCCAGAGAATCCCTCAAAATCCCAGTGAAATCTACCAAAATTCAAAAGAACTCCCCAAAGTTTCTATAAGCCCCCCCCAAAACCCCAATACAATTCCCCAAAATCCAAAACCCCCCCAAACCCACAAAACCCCCCAAAATCCTATAATTCTCTCCAAAAACCCACTAATTCCTCCTAAACTCCCAATAAAATCCCCCAAAGCCCAAAAAAGCCCCCCAAAATGCCAAAAATCCCCACAAAATCCCCCAGACTCATGGAGATCAGGGGGGCAGTGGCTGGAGGAACAGGAGCCACTTCAAGGGGCCCTTGAAGCTTTTTGGGGAGGGGGAACGATGGGAGACCTGCACAAAAACAGGGATTGGGAACCCCTGTTCTGCCCCCTCTCCCCAAAACACCCAGACCCTGGTTCAGGATGGGCCTGGGACCCTCTGGGACTCCCAAATCTCCCCCCAGGACCCCCTCCAGGAACCCCAAACCCTTCCAGAGCCCCCCCAAGGTTGGCCCAGGACACCCTGGACCCCTAACACCCCCAGGTCCCCCATACCCCCAGAAATCCCTGAGACCACCAGGACCCCCCTGAGAGCCCCCAGACGCCAATGAGGCCCAGCCCAGGATGTCCCCTAAGAACTCCCCCAGAGCCTTCCCAAGACCCCTCCCCAAAGCCTTCCCCCCGACCCCTCCCCAATCCCCCTCAGGGATCATCCGCAGATTCCCCAGACCCCTCCCCAAAACCAAGCCAGGACCCCCCCAGGCCCCCCAAAACCCCTCACACAACACCCCAAGACCTCCCAGACCCTCCCAAGACCTTCCTACGACCCCTCCCCAAGACCCTCCCACGACCCCCCCCTCAAGACCCCTCTTAGGACCCATCCAACCCCCCAGATCCCCCCCCACCAATGCCCCAGGACCCCTCCCCAGAGCCTCCCTGACACCTCCAGGACCCCTCAGGATCTCCCCCCCATCAAATACCTCTCAATACCTCTCCCCAGACCCCCAAGACCCCACCAGACTCCACCCAGGACCCCAAGAACCCCCCCAAGAACCTCCCACAATTCCCTCTTAGGACCCTCAGCCCCCCCTATCTCCCATCCCCCACGCCCCCCCCCCCTTCCCCACCTGTCCTGGCCGCCTCAGCAGTCCCAGGATCCCTCGGTCCTCTCCCAGCGCCTCCCACAGCACCCGCCCGAGCCCGGGGAGTGGAGGGGTGGGGGGGGGGGGGGGGGGGGGAGGGGCGGTGGCGGAGGAGGAGGAAGAGGAGGGAGCTCCCGCTTCATGCGGGCCCCGGGGTCAGAGGGCGCGACTTCCGGCTCGCCTCTAATTGGCTGGAACGGCTCGGGGAGGCGGGCGTTGTGAGGTTAACCGCACGATGAGTGGTTAGTTTGGGGAGGATCGCGCAGCTATTGGTTGGAAGGGCCCGCGCACGCGGTGGACGCGGTCGCGGTAGCAGCAGTAGTATCAGTAGCAGTAGTAGTGGCGGCGGCGGCGGCAGTCGGTGGTGAGGGGAGGGCGGCTGAGGAGGGAGCTGAGGTGGGGTATGAGGGGAATGGAGTCGTCTTAGATGGCTTTGGGGGGAAATGAGTAGGGGTTGAGGCGGTTCTGAGGGGAAGTGGGCGGGAGTTGGGCGGGTCTGAGGCATTTTTGCGGGGTCTGAGGGATAATTAGGGGGATGTCAGGTTGGTCCGGGGGGGGAAACTGGAGGGAAAAGACGGGTATCTGAGGTGGGTCGGGAATGCGTTTGGGGGCAATTGGGGTTGTTTGAGGGGCTTTTGTGGGGTGTAAGGTGGATCTGGGGCGAACGTGAAGGGAATTGGGGAGGTTTGAGGGGGATTTGAGAGGAACTGGGGGCGTTTGAGGTGGGTGTAGGGGAATTGAGTGGTCCGAGGTGGTTTGGAGGAGCTTTGGGTAGTTTGAGGGGTTTTTGCGGGGTCTGAGGTGGAACTGGGGGGAAATGGGGGGGGGCTCTGAGGTGAGTCTGGGCAGAAATGGGGAGATTGAGGTTGGTTAGGGGGGTCTGAGGTGAGTCTGAGGAGAAATGGGGGATTTTGGAGGGGGGGTTAAGGGAAAATAGGGGGATCTGAGGTCGGTTTGGGGGGGAATGAGGCAGTCTGAGGGGGCTTTGAGGAGTCTGAGGGGCTTGGGGAGGAGCTTGAGAGGGTCTGGAGGGTTCTCAGGTGGATTTAGAGGGGTCTGAGGGGGATGCGGAGCATCTGGGGGGTTCTGAGGTGAGTCTGGGGGGAATTTGGGGGGTGTCTCAGGTGGGTCTGGGGTCAATTTGGGGGAACTGGGCGGGTGTGTGGGTAATTTGGGGGGGTTTAGGTGGATCTGGGGGCACCTAAAGGGGGTCCCCGGGGGTGAAGGGGTCGCAGCCCTCACAGATGTCCCCTAAAGCCCTCCTGTCCCCACAGAGGAGTCCTGGCCATGGCAGTGCAGGACCCCCGGCCCAACCACACCATCTACATCAACAACCTGAACGAGAAGATCAAGAAGGATGGTGAGGGGGGTCTGGGGGGGGTTTGAGAGTGTCTGTGAGTGTCACCAGGGGTTCAGGCTGTCCCTTGTGTGTCCCCACTGTCACTGTGATGTCCCCATGTGTATCACCGTGCTGTCACTCTGTCCCCAGAGCTGAAGAAGTCCCTCTACGCCATTTTCTCGCAGTTTGGGCAGATTTTGGACATTTTGGTGTCGCGCAGTCTTCGCATGCGGGGCCAGGCCTTTGTCATCTTCAAGGAGATGAGCAGTGCCACCAATGCCCTGCGCTCCATGCAGGGCTTCCCCTTCTACGACAAACCCATGGTGAGACAGAGATTGGGGGAAAACTCTGATATTTTGGGAAAAAACTGTAACTCTAGGGAAAAACCACCAAAATCTGACCTCAGATATCCCCAAAATCTAACTTACAATCCTTCCAAATTCACCCTGAGCACCCCAAAATTTCCTCTTCTATGACACACCCATGGTGAAACACAAATTTTGTGGAAAAACACTGGAGTTTTGGGAAAAAATCCTGGTATTTTGGGAAAAAAACTGAATTCCTGGGAAAAAAAAACCAAAATCCATCTGGAAATCTACCAAAAATCCCCTGAGAACAGTCTCAAGTCAAACTAGGAGTCAAAGCTTCCCCTTCTATGACAAGCCCACAGTCGGACTGAAACTTAATGAAAAAAATGTGACATTCTGGGGAAAAAATGTAATTCTGGGGAAAAAACCGCCAGAATCTGGCCTCAAGTATCCCCAAAATCCAACCTGTAATCCTCCAAATTCACCCTGAACACCCTAAGGCTTCCCCTTCTACAACAAGCGCATGGTGATACCCAAACCTGAGGGAAAATTGTGACATTTTGGGCAGAAAACTGACATTTTGGGGAAAAAATCCTGGAATTCTGGGGCAAATCCTTAATTCCTGGGGGGAAAACCCCCAAAATGCAGCATCAAATATCCCCAAAATTCAACCAGGACCACCCCAAAGGTTCCCATTTTATGACAAGTTTATGGTGAGAGACAAATTCTGGGGGAAAATGCTCAAATTATGGGAAAAATCCACAGATTTTGGGGGAAAAAACTGAATTTTTGGGGAAAAAATTTAAATTCAGCCTCAAATATCCCCAAAATCCCACCAAAAAAAAATCCCCAAATCCCACTAGGAATGCACCAAAATCCAACCAGGACCTGCCCCAAAGCTTCCTCTGCTACGGCCAAACCCAGTGAGAACCAAATCCTGGGAGAAATCCCAAAATTCCTGGAAAACCCCTGAAATATAGCCAGGAATTCCCAAAGCTTTCCCTTCTGTGGCAAACCCATGATGAAACCACAAATTCAACCTGGAAGCCCCAAAACTCTGTTGGAAACCCCCAAATCCCTCTTGGAGCTCCTCCAAAATCTCTCTGAATTCCCTCAAATTCCTCAGAAACTCCCAAATCCCTCTTAAATCTTTCTGAATTCCCTCAAAATCCCTCAGAAATTCCTAGATCCCTGCTAGGACTTCCTGAAATAGTGCCAAATTCCTCTTGGAGCTCCCCCAAATGCCATCTGAAAATCCCCAAATCCTTTCTGGAACCTTTCCCAAATCCCTCAGAACCCCTGAAAATCCCTTGGAAAATCCCAAAATCCTCCCCTGAAACCTCCTCAAATTCCCCCAAATTCCTTCTTGAAATTCCCTAAAACCCCTCAGACCCTCCCAAAATCCCTCAGAAACTCCCCAAATCCCTCCTTGAATCTCTCCCAAATCCCTCAGAAAACCCCAAAATCCCCCTTGGAAATCCCCAAATCCCTGTTGGAACCTCTCAAATTCCTCTGAATTCTCCCAAAATTCCTTCTTGGACTTCCCAAAATTCCTCCAAAATGTCCCTAATTGCTCTTGGAACTCTCCCAGGTTCTGTCTGGAATCTCCTCAAATCCTGTAGAATCCCTGAAAATCCCATGGAAAACCCCAAAATCTCTCTTGGAACTCCCCCAAATCCCTCTGAAATTTGCAAAACCCTTTCTAGGACTTCCCAGAGTTCCTTGAAAAACCCAAAATCTCTTTTGGAACTCCTCCAAATCCTTGAGAAAGTCTCAAATCTCTCAGAAAGCCCCAAGTCCTCCCCAGATCCCCTCCAAATCCTTGGGAACAACCCCAAAACCCCCTGAACCGTCCCCACATCCCCCTGGACTGATCCCAAATCTTCTGGAACCACCCCAAAATCCCATGGAGCAACCCCAAATCCTCTTTGGAACCTCCAAAAATCCGTTGGAAAGCCCCAAAACCCCAAAATCCCTCTCAGAGATGCCCCAAATGCTCTGAAATCCCCCAAATGCCTCAATCCCGGGAATGTGCCGTCCCAGCGGATCCAGTACGCCAAGACGGACTCGGACATCATCGCCAAGATGAAGGGAACGTTCGTGGAGCGGGAGCGGGATCGGGACCGGGAGCGCAAACGGGACAAGCGCAAAGCCAAGGGGGGAGAAGCCCCTGGCCCCAAAAAGAGCGGGGCTGGAGCGCAGGGGGCGACACAGGGGGCAGTGCCCGTGAGTGCCGGGGGATTGTTTGATCACACTGGGGTCGTTCGTGGGATTGGGGTCGCTCGTGGGATTTATGGGATTGTTTTATGGGATTTGGGATCATTTATGGGATTGGGGTCATTTGTGGGATTTTGGGATCAGAATCAGGGCACAGGGGGTGGTGCCTGTCAGTGCCAGGAGATTTATAGGATCATTTATGGGATTTGGGGTAATTTGTGGATTTTGTGATTGTTGCACAAGGGTCAGTGCCCATGAGTGCCAGGGTATTTATGGGATTGTTTTATGGGCTTTGGGGTCATTCATGGGATTTGGGACCATTCATGGGATTTGGGGTCATCTGTGGAATTTTGAGATCAGAATCAGGGCACAGGGGGTGGTGCCAGTGGGTCCCAGGAGATTTATAGGATCATTTATGAGATTTGGGGTCATTTATAGGATTTGGGATTGGGAACGGGGCACAGAAGGCAGTGCTCGTGAGTGCCAGGGGCATTTGGGATGGCTTTCGGGGATTTGGGGATTGTTCCCAGGGCATTTGGGATCACTACAGGGGGTTTGGGATTGTTTAGTGGGACTTTGGCATCATTTTGGGGTGGATTTATGGGATTTGGGATTGGGGCACAGGGGACAGTGCCTGTGAGTGCCAGGAATTTGGGATCGGTTTAGGGGATTTTGGGATCAGTCCTGGGGGATTTGGAATCGGTTTATGGGAATTTGGGGCATTTGTGGGGAATTTTGGGGATGTTTTGAGGGATTTGCGGATGGTTCAGGATGATTTGGGATCATTTTATGGGATTTTGGGGATCGTTCTTAGGAGATTTGGGATTGTTTAATGGGGTTTTGGGATGGTTCCAGGGGATTTTGGGATCATTCCAGGGGGTTTGGGGAAAGGTTCAGGGAGGTTTTGGGATTGTTCCAGAGGATTTTGGGGGATTTGTGGGGATTTGGGATCATTCCAGAGGATTTGGGGGATGGTTCTGGGGGATTTTGGGTAATTTGGGATCATTCTGGGGGATTCTGGGATCATTCCAGGGGATTTGGGATTGTTCTGGGCATTTTGGGAGGGCATGGGGGGATTTGGATGGGATTTGGGGCGGATTTGAGTTAATTTGGGTTCTTTGTGTGCCTTTGGGGTTATTTGGAGTAATTTTGAGGTTGTTTGGTGTAATTTTGGGATAATTTGGGGTAATTTTGGGGTTATTCAGGGTAAGTTTGGGGTAATTTGAGGTAATTTTTCATAGTTTTGGGAAAATTGGGGGTTTTTTTGGGCCACGTGTCTGTAGGGTAATTCAGGGCTAATTCCATGTGGATTTGGCATAATTTTACATTGATTTGGGATTCTCACTGTACTTTTGGGATAACTTTGGGATTCTGTCTGTGCCTTTGGAATGATTTGGGATGTGTTGGGGTCTCTCCTCAGGGGATGCCACCACTGGCGCAGCCGCCCCGGATGCTGCCGCACCTGGGGGGACAACCACCCTACATCCCCCCCCCGGGCATGATTCCAGCCCCAGGAATGGCCCCAAATCCCGGAATTCCCCCGGGAATGGCCCCACAGCCTGGAATGGCGCCGATCCCTACCCCACAGCCCGTGAGTGACCCCAGAACCTGAGTGATTTAGAGGACTTGTGGCACTTTTGGGATGGATTTTGGTGGGATTTTGAGGGAATTTTTGGTGGGGATTTTTGGGGTGGATTTCCTGAGTTTTTTGGTAGGATTGAGGGGACTTGGGGGCATTTTTTGGTGGATTTGTGAGGGTTTTAGTGGGATTTTGGTATGGATTTTTTGAATGGATTTGCAGTGGATTTTGTGGCTTTTGGGGCAATTTTTGTGCAATATTTTAAGGGGATATTTTGGATGGTTTTGAGGGATTTTTTTGGGTGGATTTTGTGTAATTTGGGGGTTTTGGGGGGGATTTTTGTGCAGATTTTTCTGCATGGATTCTGTGAGATTTTCATGGGGATTTAGTGGGACTTATTGAAGATTTTTTCCATGAGATTTAGGGGAATTTTGGGGGTGATTTTTGTGGGATTTTTTGGGGATTTTGAGGGATTTCTGTGGGCTTTGACGCATTTTTTGTGAGGATTTTTGGCATTAATTTTGTGGTCTTTTGGGTGGAATTTTGGTGAGTTTTTGCTCACATTTGCAGAGATTTTTTTGGGGGATTATTTAGAGAGATTTTTGGGGGGGGCGGGTTGGTGGCATTTTGCACTGATTTTTATGGGGTTTTTTCCAGGATTTTGATGTGATTTTTGGGCAGATTTTATAGGGTGTATACAGTGTGACTTTAGGTAGATTTTGGGTCTGATTTGGGGCAGATTTGGTGCTGATTTTGGGGTTTCCTCTCATTCCCCACAGCTGTCGGAAAACCCCCCGAACCACATCCTGTTCCTGACCAACCTCCCTGAGGAGACCAACGAGCTGATGCTCTCCATGCTCTTCAACCAGTGAGATCTCGGGCAATTCTGGGAATTCTGGGCAGGGTTTGGGGGATTGGGGAATTCTGGGGCTTGGAAGGGGTGGAGAGAGGTGAGGAGGGCTTTGGGCTGGATTTTTTTTTTTTTGAAAATATCAGGATTTGGGGGGAAGTTCTGGATTTTTTGTGAGGGAATTTCTGGGTTTTTGCAGGAATGTTTCCAGATTTTTTTGAGGAATGTTTTTTGGGTTTTTTGGGGAGTTGGATTTCTGTGTTTATTTGGGAATGGCTCTGGAGTTTTTGGGGGAAGTTCCACGATTTTTGGGCATGGTTCAGGATTTTTTTTGGAGAAACTTTCTGGACTGGGGGGGACAGGTTTATGAATTTTTGGGGGAATATTTCTGTGGTTTTTTTAAGAAAGTGTCTAGAGTCTGAGGAATGTTTCCAGATATTTGGGGGAACATTAGTGGATTTTGAAAGGAAGTTCCTTGATTTTGGGGAATTTTTCAGGATTTTCTGTGGGGAAAGCTTCTGGCTTTTTGGGGGGACAGTTATGGATTTTTTTGGGGAAAGATCCTCAATTTTTGAGTTTATTGGGGTTTTTGGGGGGATGTTTCTGGACTTTTTGAGGACCATTTCTCAATTTTTGGGGGAAATGTTTCTGGATGTTTTGGGGGGAAAGGTTTCTGGATGTTTTGGGGGACACTCCTGGATTTTTTTGGGGAACATTTCTGGACTTTTGGGGAGTTGTATTTCTGGGGGTTTTGGGGCACACTTTTGGATTTTTGGCAATCTTTCTGGATTTTTTCAGGAAGGTTGGGGGGTGGGGGAATGTTTCTGGATTTTTAGGGAGGTTGGATTTTGGAGATTTTTAACAATTTTGGGAGGGTTTTTGTGGGATCTTGGAGGAGAATTTTTGGGGGTTGGATTTTGGGGGAACGTTTCTGGACTTGGTGGAATTTTTTGGTATCTTGTGGGATATTTCTGGATTTTGGGGGGTGTTGGGTTGTGGTTTTGGGGATTTTGAGAATGTTTAAGTGGGATTTGGAGTTGGATTTTTGATTTTGGGATGTTGAATTTTTGGAAATGTTTCGGAATTTTTGGGGTTGTTGGATTTTTGGGGAGTTGAACATTGAAAGATTTTCAGAGCATTTCCCTGGAATTTTGGGGAAATCCTGCAGGACTTCTGGGGTTCTTGGGGATATTTTGGGATTTTGAGGGACATTCTGAGATTCGCAAACCATTTTGAGAGCGTTTCAGTTGGATTTTGGGGGTAATTTCCCAATACTGGGGGTTTTCCCAAACTCGGGCTCTCCCCCTTGGATTTCTCGGGGATTTCCCCAAATTCTCAGCTTCTCCTGACCCTAATCCCCCATCCCAAATTCCCAGGCATTGGGAATCCAGGAGCTCCCTAGGGGGCATTTGATGGCATTCCTGGAATTTGGGGCAATTTTGGGATTTTTTGGGGTATTTTGAGAGGAGTCAGGTGGGGGATGCCTTGGATTTTTGGGGGAATGTTTCTGGATTTTTTTTGGAGGGAGATGTTTCCAGACTTTGGGAAACGTTTATGGAGTTGGATTTCTGGGTTTTTGGGGAGTGTTGCTGGATATTTTTGGGGATATTTCTGGATATTTGGTGCAGTTGGATTTCTGGATCTTTTGCGGGGAAAGAGTCTGGAATTTGAGGGGAAATTCTGGATATTTGGGGAGCATTTCTGGACTTTTATGGGGAGTTGGATTTCTGGAACTTTTTTTGAAGTGTTTCTGGATTTTGGGGGGATGTAGGTGGATCTTTTTGGGAATGTTTCCAAGTTTTTTGGGGGGAATGCTTCCGGATTTTTGGGAGAAATTTTTAGGTTCTCGGGTTTTTTGGGGAATATTTCTGGGTTTTTGAGAGAAGTTTCTGGATTTTTTGGGGAACTTTGCTGGATATTTGGGAATGGTGCTGGATTTCTAAGAGAGGCTGTTTCAGGGTTTTTTGGGCGGGATGCTTCTGGATTTTTGGGGGGTACATTTCTGGTTTTGTTGGGGAACATTTCTGATTTTTTGGGGGACCATTTCTGGAATATTTTTGGGGGACATTCCCCGATTTTTGGGGAACCTTCCTGGGTTTCTGGGGGAACCTTCCCAAGTTTCTAGGGGAACATTCCGTGGCTTCTGGGGGAACATTGCCAGATTTTTTGGGGAACGTTCCCAGGTTTCTGGGAGAACAGTCCCAGATTTTTTCAGGCTCTCCTGACCCCGTTCCCCGTCTCAGGTTCCCAGGGTTCAAGGAGGTGCGCCTGGTGCCCGGGCGCCACGACATCGCTTTCGTGGAGTTCGACACAGAGGTGCAGGCGGGCGCTGCCCGTGAGGCCCTGCAGGGCTTCAAGATCACCCAGAGCAACGCCATGAAGATCTCTTTTGCCAAAAAGTGACCCAAAACACCCCAAACCCCACCAAAACACCCCTAACCCCCCCCCAAAAAAAGGCCTGAAATACCCAAGATCCAAAAAAGCGCCTCAAAACCGCCCCTAAATACCCAAAACCTGCCCCAAAACACCTTAAAATCCTTCCAAGCCACCCCCAAAATCCCATAGAAACACCCTAAAATCCCTCAAAACCACCCCAGAATACCCTAAATCCCATAAAACTGCTCCCAAATCCCAGAAAAATACTCCAAAATCCCAGAAAACTGCCCCAGAAATGGTCCTGGCCCTGCTCCAAACACCCCCACACCCCCACTCCCCCAGGTAAGTTCAGCTTGGCCCAAATCTTCCTTTTTTTAAACCCAAATCCTCCTTTTTCCCACTTCAAATTTTTTTTTTTCCAGCCCAAATCCTTTGTGGGTTCCCAAATCCCTTTTCCCATCCCAAAATCTCCCTTTTCCACCTCAATTCCCCACCCCAAATCTTGTTTTTTTCACCCGAAATCCTTTTTTTTTCACCCCAAATCTCCTTTATCTACCCCAAATAACCCTTTTCCACCCCAAATCCTTCCCTGCCCACCCTAAATCCCCTTTTCCCACCCAAAATCTCCTTTTTTAACCCCAAATCCTCTTTTCCCACCCCAAGTGCTTCCCTGCCCACCCTAAATCCTCTTTTTCCACCCAAAATCTTTCTGCATCCTAAATCCCTCATTTTCTACCCCAATCCCCCTTTTCTCCTCCCCACCCTAAATCCCCCTTCCCCCACCCAAAATTCCTTTTTTACCCCAAAATCTCCTTTTTTCATCTTAAATCCTTCTTTTTCAACCCCACATCCCCTTCTTCCACCCTGGATCCCCATCCCAAATCCACTATCTCAGCCCCCCGGGGGCTTTTGGGGTTCCTGAGGAGTTTTTGGGGGTTTTTCCCAGCATTGTACCCAGGGTCTCTCTGTAGACATTGCACCTGGAGCTGCCCCCATCCCAGATAAGCCCAAATCCCCTTTTCCCACTCCCCCACAGGTTTCTGGGGTTCCCAAGGGGTTTTTGGGGTCTTTGCCAGCATTGTACCCAGGGTCTCTCTGCAGACATTGCACCTGGAGCTTTCCCAAATAAACCCCACTGTGCCCCCCAGGGCTGGAGTGTTTTTAGGGGGATGTTGGGGACTGGGGGGGGCGTGACCCCCCAGACTTCGGGGACTGGGGGATTTCGTCCTTAAATTTGGGGGTTGGGGCGTTTGACACCCCAGGGTTTGGGGTTTGGGGGTATTTGACCAGGATTTGAGATTTGGGGGGTTTTGACCCCAGGATTTGGGGATCAGGGGATTGGACCCCAGATTTTGGGGGTGAGGAGGGTTGGACACCCCAGATATTTCAAACCCCAGGAGTTGGGGATTGGGGGTTTTAACCCCAGACTTTGGAGATTGAGGGTGTTTGGCGCCTCAGGATTTAGGATTTGGAGATATTTGACCCCACACTTTGGGAATTGGGGGTGGTGGACATCCCAGATGTTTTAAACCCCAGGATTTGGGGCCATGGAGATTCAACCCCAACATCTGGGAATTGGGGAGTGTTTGACACCCTGGGATTTGGGGGGTTTGATCCTAAAATTTGGGTTTCAGGGTGGAGGGGGGATGTTGACATCCCAGACTTTGGGTTTAGGGATGTTTGACCTCCTCCCCAGTGTTGGAGCCCCCAGGATTTGGGGTCGGGGGCTTGACCCCAGGATTTGGGGTGTTTGACCCCCTCAGGTTTGTGGTCAGGGTTGAGATCAGAACCATTCCCTGGAAGCAGCGGCGAGATCAGGAATGGGAATGGGATCAGGAAGGGGAGACACCTCAACCCAATAATGGTCCCCGACCCCGGGGAGAGACCTCTGCTGAATCCCGGAATGGACCCATGCCCACAATCCTGGACCCCTCCCCACTCCTAGACCCCGCCCCAGTTCCAGATCATCCCCCATTCCCAGACCCTTCCCCACTCCTATCCCCTCCCTGTCACGATCCGCTGTACGAACGGGGGTGGTAATGGTTTGTTAACTGATCTCAGAGTGCAAAACGTAACATGGAAAGGGGATTGCAGTATCAATCAAAAACAAATGCACCTTTATAAAATGACCACAGCAAATGTGTGAAAGGAATTAGGGAAAGGAAAAAAAACCAGAAAAAAGGGGGAGAAAGAGAGAGGGAGTATAGCTACCAAAGGTGGAGAGACGCAGTCCTCATAGTCCAACTGATGGAGTTTGCCTAGCCACATTGGGATGGTCTCAAAAGTCCTGGTTAACTCAAAGTTCTGTTATAGTCCATTGCTGAGGGGGAAACAGATCTTGAAATGGCTGAGGGGGAAGAGATACAATCAAGAAGAAGAAGTCTATAGTAGAGGAAATGTATTTGAATATGTGTATAGAGGCTTTGCCCCAGAGGTCCCGGTTGCCCTCGATGGGCTGCAGCTGTGATGTCCTTAATTGGGCTGCAGCTGTAACTGATGAAGATGACCGGGACAAAAGAGGGCGGGTAAGCCAGTCAGGGAGAGCCTTGGAGGAGCCCTGACCTGAGAGAGAACAGCATGCAGCAGAAGGAGTCAGTGAAGATCTGCAGCCATGAGAATGCACCCAAGAGGTATGGACTTTGGAAATCTAATAACAACAATATGGGATTCTAGAGAAGTAATAGAAGAACAACAAGAAGTGGTGACCCCGACGTGATAGTTAGCAGAGCATAAGACAGCCGAGAGCTGTGGCGGCCAAGAGCTGCGACAGAACATAGCCTTTGGGTCAGGGAGCTGTGAAAGAGTATGGCCTTTGAGCAAGGAGCTATGTGGGTTGTACATGGCCTGCGAGTCATGGGAAAGTGTGGGCGTTATACATGACCTGTGAGTCATGGAGAAATGTATGTATTGTAATTGAACATCTGTATAACTGTTAACTTAAGTAAAAGCAAGGGGGAAATATAGTAGAGGAAATGTATTTGAATATGTGTATAGAGGCTTTGCCCCAGAGGTCCCGGTTGCCCTCGATGGGCTGCAGCTGTGATGTCCTTAATTGGGCTGCAGCTGTAACTGATGAAGATGACCGGGACAAAAGAGGGCGGGTAAGCCAGTCAGGGAGAGCCTTGGAGGAGCCCTGACCTGAGAGAGAACAGCATGCAGCAGAAGGAGTCAGTGAAGATCTGCAGCCATGAGAATGCACCCAAGAGGTATGGACTTTGGAAATCTAATAACAACAATATGGGATTCTAGAGAAGTAATAGAAGAACAACAAGAAGTGGTGACCCCGACGTGATAGTTAGCAGAGCATAAGACAGCCGAGAGCTGTGGCGGCCAAGAGCTGCGACAGAAAAGCCAAGAGCTGAAGTGGTTGCTAGCAGAAGATAAGACAGCCGAGAGCTGTGGCGGCCAAGAGCTGCGACAGAACATAGCCTTTGGGTCAGGGAGCTGTGAAAGAGTATGGCCTTTGAGCAAGGAGCTATGTGGGTTGTACATGGCCTGCGAGTCATGGGAAAGTGTGGGCGTTATACATGACCTGTGAGTCATGGAGAAATGTATGTATTGTAATTGAACATCTGTATAACTGTTAACTTAAGTAAAAGCAAAGGGGGAAATATAGTAGAGGAAATGTATTTGAATATGTGTATAGAGGCTTTGCCCCAGAGGTCCCGGTTGCCCTCGATGGGCTGCAGCTGTGATGTCCTTAATTGGGCTGCAGCTGTAACTGATGAAGATGACCGGGACAAAAGAGGGCGGGTAAGCCAGTCAGGGAGAGCCTTGGAGGAGCCCTGACCTGAGAGAGAACAGCATGCAGCAGAAGGAGTCAGTGAAGATCTGCAGCCATGAGAATGCACCCAAGAGGTATGGACTTTGGAAATCTAATAACAACAATATGGGATTCTAGAGAAGTAATAGAAGAACAACAAGAGAAGTCTATTGAAATATTGTTTCAGGACTGCTTTCTGTGGGAAACCAGTCTAGGTCCTGTAGGCACATCTGTAGGCAACACTCAGCAGGCATCCTGCTTCAGTCAGGCCAGCACCCCTGCATCAGAATTACAGGTGTCTCAGTCTCAGTCCTTGGTAGGGGGGCTTCAACCTTGGTGCCTCACGGTGGTAGTGGAGCAGAGGAAGGATTTTCCATGGGGGGGCTACCAAGTTGCCCCAGCAAGTTCATCTGGCCAAGAGGTGGGAAAATTCCTGGTCTATTGTCGTGAAGCAGGTGCAAGCATATAGGCTGGGTCGCCCCTTGGCAGGCCCTGCTAGAAGCAGTCACTGAAGACACAGCTGTGAACAATCACTTGGCAGGCCAGAATTCTGCTCAGGGGCCTCAGGATTTTTGGTGTTCATCCACCACTGGCAGGCCAGAATTCCAATCAGGATCCTCAGGGTCCCGATGTCTGTCCTGGGGATGGATGGTCGTGAGGTAAATGAGGGGAACTTCAGATCATCTCATACCAGCCGGTGACTCATGACAATCTTCCAAAGGTCTTCATCAGCAGGGTTCCGTAGTATTGTTGCAAAGTCTTCAGGACTTGTCAAACGTTGGTAGCATATCCCAGAAAACAGAGACAGTATGTAGAGAGAGAAAGAGAAAAGAAGGAAAAGAAAAGATAGAAAAAGGTGAAAAGGGAAACAAACAAATATAATTAATAATAATTAAAACAATATTCTTTTAAAACTATTTCTTCAAATGATCCAAACAAATCACAAATAATCAAAGGCAATAAAGCAATAAACAAATACAATAAGTATTTAAAATAATTTTTTCAAAACAAATCACCAAAAATCAAAAGTAATTTTCACAAAATCACAAAAGAAAATTGAGGATTATTTCAAAACACATACTCTAATTTATAATCACCTTGTGTCAACAGTCTTGGGGATGTCTACAGTGAAGAGGACATCAGCCAAGTTGTGTGCATTAATTATAAACTTCAGTTTTGTTAACTGTTTCATCATTCTCCAATTCATAATGAATAAGATTGCTGATAAAACCAATCAAAACTAGAATCTAAAGGATAATGATTGGATGACATGTATTGTTCAGAACACTTGTGGCAGTAGGTGATGACCCAAAAAGAGTGTCCCACCACCTGTGCTCGGCATCTTTTCTTACTCTCTCTATGACATGCTGTACTTCTTTCACATTGTGATGAACAGTTACCAGGGCTTTCTGTTCGTTCTTCTTGATCTTCTCTAATATTTCGATTAAGTCCTGGTGAAGCAACAATTGCTTTACCAAAGTAATGTTCACCCCAATGGGAGTAGGTAATAGTTTGTGAATCAGTCTTTAATTGGATTGTAAAAGGTGACGAGAGGTAACTGGAGCTTCATAAGAAAAATCACGTCTTGCAGTTTTGATAAAGTTACAAGCACAAAAATTCAAATTATTTTTGTGTCCACGACTACATTTTCTATAAATACAATATCACAAGCAGTTCTAAAGCATGCACACCCATTGCCTATGTATATAAGGACTGTTTCAGAAGTCTTGTTAGGATGAATTTCAAAATGACGTTTTGCTCTGTGTCCAAACAAATGTCTTGAGCTATAATTGCATTGCTTTCACAGATGAACCCTCGTTGTTCTCGGACAATACAAGATTCCAAATTAACTGTTTGCCATTTTTTACCAATTTGATGGCCCCATTATCTATGTTCAGAAGGATAGAGAATAGCTCCATTATGATTCAGCCCTAATGCAATAATAGAAAATATCAAATGCACTGAGGCATTGCGTATGGTTAACACAAGAGCTGTGGCCGTGTTTGTAATTGGGTCATAAGTAAAATTCACCAAGTTCCACCAGGATTGGAATTCTCTTTCAAAATCAGTGGCCCTGTCCCAAATTATTTTCCGAATTTTAGTAGGAAAAGTTCCTTCTGCTCCTTCTCTTATAATTGAGGCAGCAACTGACTGCATCGACAATTGTGCCTGGATACAGCTAAGAGCCAAAGAAAGGTTGTTTTGTGTAGCACCGAGTGCATCAATTACCAATTTGTCATCATTTACATTTACCTTCTCCCAATTTGGTAATGTGTTTGATAACAATAAGTCATCCTTATTGGCTTTGGGAACACAGCAGTGGTTGTTAAAATTTAGTCAAATCTCTATTTGTGGCAGCTAATTTATTCATTAGTACTTCTGAA